CATTACACAGAAACGATGGCTACATACATCGAACTGGAGGGACATAGACGACATGTCTGTGCGCATTCAGCAGGAGAATACTGCCGAGGCTCTTGACATGCTCGCTGAGGCAGACGCTACTGTCATGGACGATGCGCTGCTGAAGTCTGCGGTTAGACCCTGCCTTCTGGAAGTATCCCCTGTCGCGCCAGTTCTTCCTGTCTTCTACCGGATTCTGGAGCACCGAGCACAGGATGTCGATAACCTAACCGATCCGCCAACTTTCACCTGGTCGACGGGTGAGCAGGACGCCGCAGCGAATGCAATTTTGCGAGAGACGTGCGCTGATCTCCTGGTTAAATACCTTCCGGAGATCACAGGCGAGGAATATAGGGTGATCCCGCTCTTGCGTGTCTTTACGTCAATGATCAGAGCAGCGCCACTGGACGTGTCGCGCAAAATCATGGACATATCTTTGCAGTCGGTAGCACGACAGTGTCTCCAGAAGGAGTCCTCTGTCGCATCCGTTCTCCCTGTCCTCTGCCAGGTCCTGGAGTGCCGGGCGCAAGGCGTGGATATTTCAACCAATCCACCAACGTTGATCTGGTCGACGAATGAGCAGGACGTCGCGGCGAACACGGTCCTCAGAGAGATATGCATTGACCTTCTGGCCAAGCATACTCAAGAGATCGGGAGCGGGGAGTTTATGGGAGTGGCTCTTCTCCGAAATCTGATGTCGATGATCAAAGCAGCTCCCACAGACGTGGCGCGCACAATCGTGGACATCTCTCTTATGGAGTCGGTCATACGACCATGTCTTCTGCAAGCACCCTCTGCGGAACCTGTTCTCCCTACCCTTTACCAAGTCTTGGAGTACCGAGCGCAAGGCGTCGATACGTCCGCCGAGCTACCGACATTGACGTGGTCGACGGATGAGCAAGACGCGGCTGAAATCACGTTTCTCAGAGACACGTGCATTCACCTCTTCGAAAAATATGTTCGCGAGATCGGGAACGGAGAGTTTAAAGAGATTACTTTGTTGCATCACTTGGCATCATTGATCAAATCTATGCCGCCCGATGCCGCGATAACAATATCCTGTCAGATCATGGAGACCTTCCGAGCATGCGATTCTCGTCGTACAACGTGGGAGGAGCATCAGAGACTTTGGGGTATTTTACCTGGTGCGTGAACATCTACGCCTAAATGCAGAGCAGTCCTCTAATTGTGTTCAAGTTTCCTTTATTAATGCGGTTGTCTGCTCCAGCATTCAGCGGCGGGGCCTCCCACTGGAGACTGCCCTTCAGGTCTACCATAATATTGTCCGCTATCGCATTCACGGCGTGGATTATTCGCGAACATCATCTCCGTCTCAGGTCTCTGAAACCAATGCCCATGCAGTCGCCGCCATGGGACATCTCTCGTTAGAGGTGTTCACCAGGATTACATCGGAGGTAAACGATACGGCAGAGCTTCACCGACAGCAAATGCAGATCATTGATATCACGCATCGTCTTGTTCAAAACATTCCGCCAGACGGATTAGCAGTCTTCCATGACCTCATTAGCTTATTGCCTGCTGCAGAGCTGTCCCGAAAAGTCTTGGACAATTTTGTAGGGATCATCTGGCACGTTGGTTGGAAATTGAGACTGGACGTCGAGGGTAGGTACCCCTATCCTATTTGGAAGTCGTCCACCTAGCACTCACCGCGCGCTCTGCAGACACCCGGAGGCTCGTCGCATTCCTACCACACGCCCGCGAGCGGCTCAACACCAAAGGATTCCTCCAGATCACAGCTTCGACACTGCGGCACTGTGCACGACTCTCACCTGACGATTCTTCTCGTCTTCGTTACGATGTTTGTGGCGCACTGAACGTGTTTGTCCAGTACTTCAGCTCGTCTCGCATAGAGAAGAAGATCCGGACAGACGCTTGGTGGGAGTTCAGTCAGCTCCTCAGTGCATGTATCGAGCTCGCGCGAGTGGATAATGCACGACGTACTCGCGACGGTACGCTTTTTACTCAGGATGTGGTCAACGCGCTGGAGCATTATGCATCGCGATGCCCCGAACACCCCATACATACATATTTGCTCAAGGATTTGATGGACGGGATACACAGAATCTCGGCCTATCCTTCCAACTCGTATGTGCCTGTGTCACATTCTGTCCGCCATACGCAGCCCTGACATTATGTTCAGCAATGCCACCCACACCGTCACTGAGGCGACGGTCGGCACCGCACCAGCATCGCAAGAAGATGTTGTCGAGACCTGGAGGAAACATCCTCGGACAGTCGACGTCGAAAGCAATCCGATGTAGTAGTCGGAGTCGGAGGTAGCGTTGTAGGAATGGTCGCATTGCGATCGCTGTGACAAATTAAGGTCCTCGAGGTAAGCTGCAGGCAGTATGTACACTTTCGCGAGCTCGAAACGTTATATTATGTATTTCTTGCGAGACCTGCATTACCCCGCTGCCTACGGAAAACCCGCATACTAAATACATTTGTGTGATGGGTGATTAGACAGTGTCATACACGGACTGGGGCGCAATATCGACATGTCTTGAGGCGCCCGCTCATAGTCCAGTTTCAGACCCGAAAGGTGAAGTTGTGAGAGTAGCTATAGCAGGGCGATATGTTACAATACCATAGCACTTGGATCATCCAAACGCTCTCAAGATTTGCCGCTCGATGCCATTGGGTACGAGGCACTATCGCGGGGATCGTGCCGTGGGTGTGGTATATGGGAGCGGGAGATCACAGCACTGTGAGAATGCATAGACGCATCAGCCAAGGAGTCAAGACGAGCATAGGGACAGTGGACTGCAACTCACCTCGCCCCGCTTCATATAGACACAAAGTCTCGTTCGGGGATAACGTCACCAATGAACAAGGGACCTATACGATGCAACAGTAACCGGACTACTGGGGGGACCATATACTACTGGGGTCATTCCTGGAGCCTGAGCGTCAGTAAAGGCTCATTTCATGTGTTGAGCCGTGTCCGCAGGGACACGGAAGAGAATGGAGAGCGCGGGCAGGAAGGGAGTGCCCACATCGCTTGCGCTTTGTTGAGCACCCGCAAAAGGGAGTTCCATAGATGTTGAGAAGTATGTGGAACACGTTGAGCGGGTATCTAAATTCAGAACAAAGCTGATAAACACAAGGCGACAAGATGCATGCAAAGACGCACATTGAATGGGAACAGTGGATCAGCGTCATTCCTCAGCGTCACGACGTCGCCTTTGTGGACCTGCAGAGAGGGGTATAGAAAGCTCGTCGTGCAAAGCAGAGTATTTTATACGCAGTTGGTTGTATAGGCATCCACGCCCGAGACAGGCGCTATGGTAAGACTGGTCGCGTGTCGTCACATACCGTCAACTGAAAGAACATTGAAGTCAAGTGGAAAGTCCCGCGATCCTGTCGCACAACGGTGCATCACCTGCAGGTATGGTGAGAAATCCGTGAGACTCAGGCCCATGCGCATTTTCTAGCATTCGCGTATAATTATTTACGACTGTACCGTAGTGAAGGATTAAGAAGCATATATGGTGCGGGAAATCACTGACGCGCAGCTATTTTTGCAAGGCGTAATGTGAAAACAATGGATGACGTGTCCTCGGAGCGCAGAGGGGCTCATATTGATTCATGCGCCAACCCTCATGTTGCTACTCTGAGAGAGCGACAACATGTGTAGGTGAAGACTTAGCCGCCTTTGTGACAGCGAAAGGCGTACTCTTACAGCGTGAAAACCAATGGCCCGGGAGATCAACGAGGACGGCTCGTAGGTGAATGACGGGAGTCAACGAGTGAAGTCCAAAACGTGCCGTATTGTCCTGCCGCCTCGCCCTCAATACTACGCTCGCTCTACTCATTCTCGATTGTAGACCGACTAACATGCCAGTTCCAAGCGCGGACAACGAGCACCTGTAACGCCATCTGGGACGAATTAATGCTAAGGAGGGGTTCAGGCCCCAGGATAGCAGTTCTCCGAGGTAAATATAATGGTAGTATCGTATGGAACGTTGGTACTAGGTCTTCGCGGAGTGCGAATGGGCGTCGGATCGCGTGCAGGTAGAAAGAAGCCCTTTTTCTGGCGCTGTTTATGAAGAGACTCAGCGGCTGGCTTGTGAGGGTGTGCGTCTCATCATAGCAGAAGCATGCTTCGGATGACAGAAGCAGCGAGCCAGAGCCTGCTAGAGCGCGGTAATCGACAAACAACATGCTCATTAAGCGCCTGTCAGCCTGCGATCGGACACCACCAGCGACCTTCACATCTGTATTGAAGCACGCATTCAGGAACGAGCTCGCAAGCTCGGGGGCGCGAGTAGCCGGGGGCCGGAGGCCCCTATCGTAGTATTTAACGACCACGCACGATGTATGTACGCTGCGCGGTTACGGGCATCGCTACGCCCGTGGACAAACGCGCCCTGTCGCCGTTCGCACCGTTGTTCCAACAATCTGAATGCTCCAAATCAGCTAAAAGCTGCTTGTTTTCTGGCGAAAGTTACACCGCAACTTTCAATGCTCCTTATACCTTCGTGTTTCAAAGCTGAAGAGATATGCATCGATCACGGAAGCCACGTGTATGTAGTGCTTGTGTATAATGGTATCGTCCCGAGGCGTCGTCGTTCAAGTTAGGTAGCCTTGATGGTCCTCATAGCTGGATAAAGCAGCTTCGTTATAGCTCTGCACCTCATATACACACTACAGCCAGGAAACGACGCAGAGGCTGTTCCTCTAGCGGATGATAAACCATAAAGGTCGGCATTACACCTGTTGGTCCCATCGTTGTTTGGCAGTTTCAATCACTTACGGAAAAGGAGCAGACTGCATGCACACAATACAAAATACAGGTATACTGCCATACAGGCAGTCGCCTGCGAAGATACGTTGCATTCCTCGTGGCAGTGGGCCTACCCTCAAATCAAAACTTGGTCACATACGTGTCTACCTCCAATGACTGCTGCTGTGTCGCGTCTCATCTGCGTGGCCACTCTTCCGACTTTTCAATACCGCCACTCAAGCACTACACATACTCCTGCCTCGTTGGGGAGGATTCGACTTCGAAGTCAAGCATAGCTATGGAGGCTCTGCCCGTCAGACTGGTTTCATTGCCTACAGATTCATCCTCGATTTTGGGGGCAAACACAATGGAGTGCGCGGGCTTTGTCATGCTTGGATCTTCTGTGGAAGTCGATTGGCCAAAGGTCTCAACATAACCTTGATTGAGACCGATGCGAATGATAATGAGAGAAGGAGCGATGAGCTGCGAATTGTTTTAGCTTTAATGTTTACTTTGATACGACGACTAAGATTACCACGAGCATTGCGGTCAACGAATCAGACACATAGTTCGCGACCTGTATTGACAATAATCAACCTAACTTGGTAAGCACAAAATGAGTTCCAAACATACATATGCGGCATCTCCATCAACGTTGTTAGAGATTAGTTCCGCCAGCAGGGACGCAGTATAGAGCGCGCCCGACTCAATTCTAGGGTATCCAATATGATGAGTCTATGTACGTCAGTCGCGTAAATGTGTCAGACTTACATCATCACGATTGCTGTGTCGTACCTCCTCGTGGCCCGAGATCCAAATGTAGCAGCCAATTGGCGAGTGTCATGCCATATGCGGTAAACTTACAAGGGTTAGCAGAGAGCACAGACAACAGTACATACAGGGACGAGACTTACCAACAAGAACAGTGACAATAATGTTCGTAGCTACGGACGTAGCCGTGGCCACCGTGTTCAGGCGATACATCCATAGATTTATATTGATGACTCTGGCTGTATCAGCCGCGGAGGAAGATGCCTGCGCGAGAAGTTGTGCATGATAGTACTTATACGACATCCCGACTTGAGCGTATCCAAACACTATAGAGTTCACAATCAGTGCCTAATCTCGATGGACCAATGCGGAATGTACCTATGGTGACGAAAAGAAGGAAGGCTGGGATCATTGCTATCCAGCGTTGGGTAGTCCACACCATGTAACATCGGTACACCTGCGTCGAATGTCAGACCTTCAAGTCATGATGAATCAAACGCTACAGACTGACCAGTACGCTATCCCCCAGCCACCTGCAACAAGCATGAACTGGGTGTTTGTGATTCGAGAAAGGGTGCTTACAATTTAGTTGTGAACAAAATGAAGGCCACGTTGTCTATTCGCTGATACAAGCTGCTTTGTCGCGTGCTTTCCAGGGAAACCTCACATGGGAATAGCGTGTCGGATACAAGATCCGAGCCGGAGATGAGACGGGGAGTTAGCAGGACATTGACGAGGTCGACGAACACCTCCGCGGTACAAGTCGTGAACATCGCGATACACATCCACAGAGTATATCTGTTCGACCTCCGCTTCGTATAAATGTAGACACAGCCAGCGAATAAGTTGATATAAAGGCCTGCATGGTCCGAGCATTAACAGTAACAATATCATTAGAGGATATGTTTCTCCACCATATAGTACGGACTCAATCTGCGCATGCGGTTGTCAACACATTGTCACGCAAACACTGTTAAAACGTACCCATAATTGGGTGATCTTGGTCTGTCATGATATTGAGCAAGCGACTCTCCTGAAACCGCGAAAGCCTCACCGCGTAGACAAGCTCCCCACACATGCTTGTAGCTTTGAGGCTGAGGTGGATTGTGGTTTTGATATTGAATGCGCATCGCAACTTATATGTCTTCCATGCTAGCGCATGCACCGCTTTGTGGCCAATAATAGCGTCGATGGGGATCTCAGAAGCCTTACCTCAGCAGCGTTGGCACCGGATGGATGCGAGAAGCGCAGATCACATCATAGGAACTCAATATGTGGGCGAAGATTGCTGATACGAGCCCTGATGCTACCACATCGGCCATTGCGGTGAGGCCTTGACCATCTTCTAGAGCGCACACTCGAATCAGCGTGAAGATTGGATGTGGTCAAGGTCGATTGTCCAGAGCGGCTGGCACTCTTTCTTTCAGTCGCATATACCCCGGCGATACCGCTCAGTACTGTCCAATGCATCATGGGGATCGCTACTTGCTGTCAAAGTGGTCTTGTATAGTGTATGCATGAGCTAGTGCAGGCGGCTTGAGTTCACGAATTTAGTTCAACATCGTCGTAACGTGACGGCAGATGCTGATGAGAGTGCGAACCACCTCGCTCCAGGACATCACAGCCTAGAAGTCGCGTGGTCGCTATTTTCTGCGCTCATGAGATCAGCTGTGGGAACAGAAGCCGAGTATATTCATGGAAGTCAGATAGCGATAAGGATGCTGCGGGTCCACTCCTCACCCTTATTGTCCTCCTCGACGAGAGAGCAGACGACGAGAATCAATGGCTCTTGGATCTGATTCCCAATTGCCAGTCTCAGCCAAGTTGGTGCTGCCGCAATACTTCTCATGACATCGCGTTTGCTGCAAGTAATCAGTCAGTAACTAATGCTCCCGCTCGCCCTTCGCCCTGCTTCTTTGTGCCGTAGCTTGATTGATAATCTCCAGCGAAGCTGAAAGGCATGTCTACAATCTTCCAATTTTACCGTGCTGCCCTCATCTCATGGATTGTGATGCTGCCTAATATTAGAGTTGAAGTGCATGTGGATCCGCTCGAAGATGCTAACCATACCCTTGGCGGCCTCCATCTGTCATGGAAGCCCCTCTCAGATTCAAAGGTGGCAAAGACGATCTTCCCATCCATTCCATTCTGGACATTGACCGGAGAGCCGTTAATTTCAGCCTATTCTGGATACACCCATCCGTTGGAATCCATGAAACATCAATTCTCGTGAAGAGCACATGTGAGATCGAAGTGCTGTGCAGTACGTGAGGATAGTTGTGTTCAAAAGCAGTAGAGGGTACAGTATGTGAATGAAACGACGTACTACAGAGACAATTTGCCGTCGATGCCTGTTTTACTATATGAGAGCACGATGCTCACAGCTGTACGAGCTTACCCAATGCTATGTTGCCGGAAGTCTTCGCAAGGCGTGTTCTGCTGCACAGGTTGACAAAGACATAAAGCAGATCTGCTATCAGTGTTGAGTATTGTTCATGTGAGCAGGCAGACCGATCTCAGCAGACGCACAGCACATTGAAGTATAGCACAAAGAGCAACAGAAGGCGGTGACAGTGTGACGATTGGTGCGATATCGCCGCATTTGGGTACCAGAAAGCACAACCAGATGGAACTAAGTTGTCACGAGTTGGTACGGCGCCTAGCTGTTTTTTAATTTTTTCCTTTTCGCGGGCTCGAACCCGCGACCTCTGTACTACCTGCCTGATAAGGACACGTCGTTATCTACTGTACGATTAGATTAGATGGGCGGCAGCGCATGGCACAGCTCGGGCTCCGCTGACACAGCCGCTCTGACTCACCGGCCCCCGGGGCCGCATCGGCATGCTGCGCACAGACCAGCTGCGCACGGACCAGCGTGCACAGCCTGCCCTTATCTTCCCCTGTATATAAGCCGGCCTCTGCTGCCCTAGGGACCTCAGTTTCGACCTCTTGTCCCTAGGTCAGTAAGCCCCAGTTGTATCCTTTACTTACCTTCACTAACTAATACATTTCTTGTCCCTAGCCTTAGGTTTGAGCACTGCTCACCATCGCTTCGGTGAGAATCAGTCAAACGCCCCCAGCTCCTTTTAGGTTTTCCCCTGTCGCTAGACCTCAAGTCGCGACATTAGGTCGAAACTCCACAAAGCTGCCGGCGTTCCTCGGAACCCCACACACTCACTTTTCCTTTCCCATAGGTTGGGTGGTGCGCACCCCTACTGTACCCTACGATACGTAGATAGCATACGATACATCGCCAACACTTGAGAAACGAACTCTTCAGTACCTGCGCTTCAGTGAGCGGTACTTGTCCTCACGGACGCGTAGCCTTGGTTCCTGCTGCATAATAGTCAAAAGCAGTATTGGGCCCTACGTGAACTGCGAATCTCAGTGTCATCTCGGGCGCCGTAGGTGTAAGCTAGTATAGCACGGCCTTTCGTAGTACGCGCACCTCCCCTTCCTCCCCCCATCCAACGTGGCTGCCTGCCAAGGCCAAGTCCACGCATTCGACTCACAGGACCTCACTTGACGTCTACA